CCTGTTGCTTTTCAAGCTAGGATGGATCATCCCCCTTCTCTTTCCATTTGATTGCATATCCTCTCTGTCCAGGCTGGAATTCACTTCTATTTTCCTCACTTTCTGAATCGTGCCTGATGTTCAACTGCACCAAATCAAGGGAGACCCTACTTTTCAAGCCTGTTCTTCTCCGCCTCCCCTTGCCTGCATGCTTGCCCTCGCATCAGGGACTGGGAGAGAGGGCTCTTCTGCAGGCTTGCCCTGCCAAAGGGTGTCACTGCCTGTGCAGATTCAGCTACAGACACATTGGAAATGAATTCTTAATCCTGTCTTTGACAGGAATGCAGAGTCAGCTCCTAGCTGCTCTGTACTGCGGTTTTGGAATCTCAGTTTTCAGGTGTGTTTGATGTTTTTGTATAAATGAAAATAAAACTGATGCACATTTTTCTTTTGTTTTCTGTATTTAATAATGAATATAGAAATTCTGCTTCTTGAACATAAGTATTGAAGGCTTTCACCAAATGTCAGTTTCAGATCTGAACTTCTAAGTTCATTAATCAATTGAAATTGTCTTAATTCTATAAGTAGACTACAGAGCATGAAATGGTGTAGTTCATAGAAGAATAAATTATTCTTTTTTTGTATAAGTAAACTTTACTTAAAACTAATTAAGAAGACAGTACTTTGAGCTGTTATTTCCAGTAATACTACAAGTTTTCTCTAGTTTTATTATTTGAAACCAAGGAAACCAATTACATAAAAATAAAAGCATAAGCATTCCATTTTAATTTTCAGGAATAAGACTGCCTGGTATGTGTTTTGTGGTTGGTTTGTTTGTTTGTTTGTTTGTTTTTTTCTGAGAAAGTTACAGAAAATTAGCTACAATATTTGTACTGAGTCAGATATAATTTAGCAGTAATAAATATTACTACTATGGCTACCTGCAGACTTAATTTCTAATACAAAGTTGTGTCTATAGATTTTCTATGGCATGTCTGTCTAAGATAAACATTTTTAGACCTACTGTTACTGTGAGATTTTCTGTTTGTTCAGAAAAATAATCTAGAAGCTTTTAAAGGAAACTTGGAGTCAGCTGCTGACCTGATTTAGTACTATTGCTAATTTTTATTAGGTTTTTAGTAGATTGTAGTGCACACTGTGTTTTGTCCAGGCTTTAAGGTGATAATTCTGACAGCAGGTACTAAGTTAAAGTTTTCAGGCAGGTACATGTCTATGTGTGAGTAGGTACATAGGCAGAAATACTTAATTTTTTTTTTTTAGGTTTTAATTTGAATAGCTTGGCAACACATTGTTCCCTCCGATAAAAAATTTGACTTGACCTTTCAGGTTTTTTCATTTCAGGTAGGGAAGTAGGGTATTCAAGCTACAGTCACCTGTATGATTTGCTCATATTTAAGATATGTTGAGGTTTCTGTTTGTTCATTGTATTTCATATTTTTATCTTAGTGAGGGGGTGTAGAATGGTTTTTGTCTAGTTTGTTATGGAAGCAAGCTGGGATAGCTGTTGCTTCTTTTGCCTCTCCATAACTGTGAGGTCCATACTGTAAACCTTGATCAATAATATTTTGAAACTTATTCTTAAACTGTTTGCTTTTTACATTCAAATTGTATATGATTGTGAATAATTGACTAACCCAGACTTTAACACTTAATGTTAAATGTTAATGATGAATGCCAGACAAGGTGTAAATTCCGTTATATTAGTTTGGCTCAGGCATTTCTTTCCTTTCTGGATTCTGGATTTACATTTATTTTACACAGATTTTCTATTTCTTTACCTGTTATGGCAGAGTATTTAATACCATTTGCAATTTCCATTGCTTCAATCCTTGATAAATAATGTCAGATAAGCTGATGTCTGCATGAAAAATAATTTAATCAACAAAATATATATGCTTGTTTGACGTACTCATCTTGAAGTCTTAGCAAATGTTCGAGCACATCTCCTTTCAGTATTCATGAAGCAAGCAGTTTTTTTCTGATCCTAAATCAATAAACTCTGTGGTACTTTGCTATAAAATATTTTTTTCTGCAGGAAAATAACTAAAATATTTTCAGACCAATTAATGTGCATTGAAACTCTTGTATTCAAGTGAAAAATAGCTTCACACGTGATGGCTTCCTTCATGTAAAGCTCATACAACCAGCTGTTGAGTATGTAGCTTCCTGTGATGTATCACTCTTCTCAGTTGATTTAACATGTTGCTGCTGCCACAGGAGTCTATTTTGCTCCCACGTAGGAGGACCTTTCCTTTTTCTCACTCTCACTCTGCTTATCTGGTGTTACATCTCTTTGGTGATCTGATTCAGACCACTGAAGTGGTAGAGCTTGTTGTTTGTTTGTTTATATTTTTTGCAGATAAGATCCCTGAGGTAGTGGTCTGACTAAGGTGGTCAGGCAGGCACAATATTAGCAAGTGTTGAAGTTGTGGGGCTGGGGAAGAAGGCGTGTTCCTGGAGTGTACAGTTCCAGCCAACGGTTGCATCCCTTTGCTTGTTGTGTTGACTATGCCATTGTACCTTTGCTTCTTTTCAAGATGGTGTTGTTTGAGCATGGGAGGTACTATTTTTTGGATTCTGTCTCTTCAAAATAATGCCTTTTCAATGGCATAGGATACTTTGTGTATCTTCTTTGCAATATAGATGCAGCAAACACTGACCAGTTCAGAAGGTGACCTGAGCTGTAATTTAACGTCTGTAATTCATTGGCTGCTGCTCATATTTGCTTTTGTAACAGTTACTGTAGAGGAAGCCTTTTTTCAGTTTTGGATAATAGCCCTATTTTGCAAGCTTCCCCTGTGGAAGAGAGAAAACTTTGGACTCTGGTCCTCTGTATTTATGTGGATAAACCAGTCTTTGTGGAAGTAAGGTGTGATGCTTGTTGTATGAGAGCTGTAAAATGTATTTGTGTAACCCTCTCTAAGTCCATCATAATCATCACCTATTTTTGAAGTAACAGCCTAAAATTGTAAGGATATTTCCCGTGGATGTGTGAAACATACTGGTATGAATTATGTGTTTTGAGGTGCCTGTGAATGTTCTATTTCAAAGGCAATACCTAATATATATAATCCTAATTTTAAAGTATTTTTCTATTGTTTTTAAGAGTACTATCTAAAATTATTGTTTAATATTAGTTTAGCATAAAATGTTTTCTCAGTGTTCTCAGCTCCTTACCTCCAGGTATAACTGGTTTCTCTGAAGACTCTTATTCTTTGTAGATTTTAGGCTAAACAACAAGGGAAATTTTAAAATTAATATTCCAGAAAGCTTAGTCTGGTCTGGCAGTTAACAAAATAAATCTTATCTTTTAATCTTGCCTTTCTCAGAATGGCTTTTATTTTCTGCCCCCATCCCACTCCCTTTTTTTAAAATTCCTTTATGTTGAACTAAAGATTGACTAAGAAACTTGAGGCTGGTTTTTTTTTTTTTTTTCAGAATGATTCTGCTTAGTATTGTTTGACTAGCAAAAATGGAACTTTATTGAGCACTGAATGCAGGAAAAAAATCTAGCACCCTGTTCAAGATGCAAGAGCTTCCTGTCATATCTTGGTAATAAGATATGGATTGTCTTTGACTTCTTATAGATAAGTGTAGCTAAAGTTGGAACTTCTGACTTACAGAAATTGTGTTGCTGTGGTGGTGGATTGGGGACAATACATTAGAAAATAAGTAGCAATTAGTGAAATCATACTCTCCAGCTGATACAATAAATGAGCCATACAGTTCCTAAAGGTATCTTTTTAATTTTTTTTAATTCACTGTGACAAGAGAATTCCATAACAACGTGTGTGACAAGTACACTTACAGCAGGCAGTTCCTTTAGGTTCACTTTTTAACTTCATAGCAGTGTGGTTCACTGACCTGGGGATCTGGTATTTGATGATAACTTTGTTTGTCCTTAGACTCTGGGTCATCTTAAGTATGTTTTGAGAGCATTTTCTTGAAATGCTAGGGATGGAAATATGGCAGTTATGTTTTTGACCTTACTTGCATCTTGTATCAGCTACTGGGCAAAGCCATATTAAATGTCTCCCAGTAGAAATGCTGTAATGCATTAACTGGCTGGTAACACTAGGTACATACAGCTTTTCATGTATGGAAGAGTTGTGCTTGAAATACTTTGCTTGTTGTATAGTACCTGTCTCTAATTAGAGTGGTTCTGCACATGAGTTCAAGTGGGGTAGCTAGTTTGAATTAAAATATTGTATAGTAGTTGATTGTTGTTGATCCCCGTCAGCTGGTCTGTGTCCAGCTTCTGAGGTTCTCGTTGGTTTGCATGGTGTCTGTCTGGATCACAGTTGATCTTTTTTGTAAATTACTTATTTTCCAGTTTTGTCCTCGACATGTTTCCACCAAAACCAGGATCTAAAATAATAGAGAAAAAACAGTTTGTCACTTTTTTTTTGCAACTGAAGCAAACTCAAGTGTTTTATTGTTGAACATGGAAGCAAAGTCAACATCTATGCTATTGCTTCTTTCATGAAGTGTCAGAGTGTCAGAATATTTTGCTTTCAGTTTTATTGGCTTCGATGTTAACAGCTGCTGTATCATGACCTTTGGTTCATGATACAGAAGTCATGTGTCAGCTATGTGGGTGTATTCCAGTCACTTAGTTTTGCAAGGAAATTAGTATAAAAGTAAGTATGTGTGTATTAATAAAACTATCTTTTTTAAAAATAGCATTTTTAGTAATGATTTCAGAATATTGCATAGTACTTCAATTTGTTTGGGAATAGATGGAACAGAAGGACTGGGTAGCGTGGTAGCTATAATGATTCCCAATGTAAAGGAAAAATGTGATAAATATGTATTTTTATTTTTTTAAATATAGTTTTGTATTTAGCTATAGTTAGCTATAGTTCTATTTTGCTAGGGGTCATCTGTGCCTTGGGAAAGATGCCTATGTAGGATATCTTTTGCAGATTTCACTTACTGATTCCACTCGGTGTTGAAAATGTTGATGCTGAAAAAGTGTTGAGATGGCTTTTATTTTATAGTTGTATGATGGTTTTATTAAACGACCAGAAAATACCAAGATCTCGATTGCTACAGGGAGTTTAAAACTTTCTTTTTTTCCCCTTCCTTTAGATTTTCAACTGAATTCTCACCTATCAACACTGGCAAATATTCACAAGATTTACCACACCCTCAATAGGCTGGTAATGACTTGCCATTTTCTCTCAGCAGAATAGCTAGGGCTTTAGTCCAGAATGTTTTGTGATTGAAATCATGACGTGATTCCAATTTTTAAAACAATTACTGCCTTTTGTATGAGAGACTGTTGGTTTTGAATCTTCTAAGAGATAAGCAGTATTAGTAAAAACTAAAAGATGATATTCCAAGGGTTGGAGTGGGGTTTGGGTGCTGTTCACTGCAACGCTTGGTTTAGGTGTTGTCTCCATAGAAGCAGCTTTCCTAGATATATCAAATAATGGTAATCATCATAGCTATCCAATTTCGTACAGTTCTTGTGGAAAACACATTGCATAAGCAAGCTGTCCTCTTACAACCACGCAAAGAGTGAAACGATTTTTTTTTTTTTTTTTTTTTTAATATAGTCCCTGCTTGGTTGCTGTGCATTTGTATTTGTATTATTGCAGACATAGCTGGTAATGCCGATATGGCTTCTGTTTGTACACTGCAAATTTAGTGGAAAAGACACTACCTAAAAAAGGGGGTAACTTGTTTCCAAGATTTCAGGTGGTTTTTAAATCAGTTTTCTTTGGAACATATATCTGTATTTATACTTAATCAAAGCCATTTCTGTGGTAAATTGTAAATTCAGTCTTTCTAATGATGCATTTGTTAATGGAATTGTTCCATGCAATAGTGCAAAATTCCCCATCTGGTGGATAGTTTTTCCCACTCTTGCAACATAGTTTGATATGTTTTTGATAAAAATAATTCAAAAATATTTTTCAAATAAATCATTGAACTTTTTTGATAAATTTGCAAGGGTAACTTTTTAGATAAATATGAACTGAAAACAAAAAGCTAGATGCTCCTTAAGTAATTAAAATTAATATTAATATCAAATAAAGGTTAAAAATGTTACTGAACAGTGAGGATCACTGTCTTGTTTAACTGTATCATTCCTACTCTCTTGCAGAATCTGACAGAGGACGTTGGTCAAGACGATCACCAGACAGGTATTTAATAGAGATGTAGTAGAAATAGATTGAAACAATTTAAACACGCTTCATCAAATAAGTCTCTCTAACATATCTGAAAATTATATTTTAGAAAGCTAAAGGAGTTTTAGAAAATAAGTGCCAGGATTTTTTAAAGTTTTATTCAAAAGAGATGTTTATGCTTTTAATTTATCCAGTTGTGAAGGACTCACACAAGTTTCAGCACTATCTGTCATTTTACTATTTCTTAGTGCAAGTACTTTAGAAGACTTCATGAAAGATTTCTCTCACTCCTTGGACTCAACCCATTAGACTAACAGAATATCTGTGTTCTTACAGTATTTTGACTCTTGAAAGAACATTAGTGAGAACAGAGCAGAAGCAAGACCTCTTTGTGGCTATTGCGATGCCTGTGACCGAGTGTAAATGCTGTGCTTCAAACACCCCATCTTTTTTCTTGAGTGGTTTTGATGCAAGTTGTTCCTGTTGTGCCGATTTTCAGTCAGTGTCTAAGGGCTATTTATTAGTCCAGATCTGTTTTCTGTTCAATAAAATATCATCATTTTTGGAGGCCTTCATCTCAGATGCCTGGTGCTAACTTGGTACCATTCTTAATTCATCAGCATTTGTGCTTTGTGACTTGTAACATTTGTTACCTTCTTTTGTGCTTGTTACTTACAAGCTGGCACCTTCCTTGATTTATTTTTCTTCCTTCCTTTCTGTGTTTCAGGCACCATACCTAAGGAGGAAGGAAAATAACTTACTGGCTTCAAGCCCATATCACTCAGCAGAACTGTTCTTTAAAACTGACCGTATCTGTCCTACCATCCGTCTCAAAGTTTTTCTCTGTCCTGAGGTGCTGACTATGTTTGCTGATGTTACCTTGAGTGCTTCAGAGAGTAGAGAGAGCTGTCAGCTCCTCCTGAAGGTTTCTGGGACACACTTATAATCTAGCACATTCTTAGCCTAGAGCAATGGGAAGAGATGCATAGGACTGTGTTGTCTGGGATTGGACAGAGCTCACTTAGGGCTTATATACCCTCCTCCATACTGTGACAGGTGACTTTGTTTCATAGTTGAACTTTCTTACTCTAGCTGCAAAAGGCTTTTGTCAAATATTTTCTTTCAGTGTGGTTAGTGATTTGATACTTGAAATTAGCTGATCATGTAAATGAAAAACCTCTGCGAAAGAGGTTGAGGCAGGTAGTTCAAGACAGTCAGGTTTTATTGTCCATATGTTAGAACCGATGTCCTCTCCCATCTTCTGATGGAAACTTGGAATTTTCCCCTTTGTGATCCAGGTGCTTAAACTAAACACACATACATACTCATTTCATGTATGAAATAGATTCTGTAATCTTTGTTTACTTCTGATCACAAAAAGCTGTTGTGAAGCATTGAAGTGGTTGTCTTCTCTCGCTAATCAATCAATGAGAGTAGGTGTTCTTAAGGTGTTTAGAATTTGTTTTCTCTCTTGCTCAGCACTTCTGTCATAAAGGTCAGTATAAGAAATTATCCTCAGAGCTCTCATTATCTCTATTGGAAGGTGTTTGAACATGTTGTTGGTTTTGATGAACTGCTCTATACTGATCCTCATGGTTATCCTATTGCCTGTATTGTGTAGTTTGAATTACGCTGTTTCAAAAGCTTAAAGATGCCCATTGAATGAATTTGGGCACAAAATCCCAGCAGAGTGTAACCTTTTTACAGTAGTTGTAAAAGAACCTTTCAAACCAGGAACAAGTATGAAATGAGAACCAGAAGTAGAGGTTGCTATTGACAGGTTCCTCATCTTCAGATTTCATTCCAATATTTCTTATGCTTCTGCGCTGTTTTATGTCTCCTTGCAGAAAAAGGTAAAGCCCCAATGTCTGCATAATTTCCAGTTTAATTCAGTCAAAATGAGTTGTTAGTTTTCCTCATATGAGGACAAATATACATGTGAGGAACTATTTTGGCCATTGTGAACATAGTACAGTGAAGTCTCACGTGTCCAATTTGTATGAGACTTGAGACCTCTGAAACATCCTACTGGAGAGCCTTATGTAAATCTAGAAAGAATTACTTTTGCAAATGGCTTGATTTTGATGTACCTAAATTTTTGGCACTTCTATTTTCCAGTGTTACTGACTGCATAGTAAGAAGTCAACACCTATTCTTTTTGTTATGAAGCATATAGAACTGCATAGATGCTATGAATTTGAGATTCTATGTACAGAACTCATTTGAAAGTCACATTAATAACTCTTGCAAAACATTCTTTCAGCGTTGCCAAACCCATCTAAAGATGATTTTTTGGTTTTGCGATTTTAAATTACTTGATTTTTTTTTTTCTATTAGTTTTCTGACATAACTATCCTGTTTAATGTTATTACACTGTGGGCCCTGCTTTTGGGATGAGTTAATAAATGCACATCTAAATTTGGTTGAGATTTCTAAAAGCTATTTAGAAAGACTGAGTATTTCAAGTTTAGATTAATATTTATAATGAACTTTTAGTGCATATTACATTTTTTTCAAAGCAATTGTTTTCAAGCTAACAATAAATGTACTGGACATTTAAATTGCTTTAGGCAAATTGTATCTTTTCTAAGTATTAAACGTATTTATTTTCTGGAACCAGATTTTAAATATCTAAGAGTTAAAGGGTAGGAGTTTAAAAATTCCTTCAGTGATTTGGGAGCTAAGGTGGAGCTCACTTCAAAATTGCAGTCGCCTATAATGATTACAGTCTCATAAAATGTGTTAGCATTCAGTTGTGTATATGTACCTGAAAAATAAGGTACACTCTAAATGTGTCATGGGCCCTTTGCCTTTTCAGCTATTTGTAGGGGTAAGAAAAGCAGCCATTCAGATTCTGTAAACAATTTATTTTTCTTCTAGTATGTATAAGCATGAACTTGGAAAACTCTCTCTCTAGAATTCGAAATAATAGTTGTTTTTATGTCATGACTACAAATCCAGCAACTTTTTAACAGCTTAAAGTTTGGTTACTAAATGTGACTTATTTACCTATCCAGACTAAAATGTTTTAAAAGTACACTTCCTGTTGTCACCTAGCATGTTTAAAATGACAAGTTAATGGCTTCAGCAAAAACAAGGCTTCATTGCTATTCTTGAAGCTTGTGGGGGGGGGGAAAATTATTTTGCCTCTGCTATTTTTTTTTGTTGTTTTAGAGAAGAAAACCCTCTTGAGTACAATTCTATAGTATGGAATGCAAGATAGAGAAGATGGTTTTTCCTTTTACAACAAGATTGCAAATTGTTTGATGTTTTGATGAGTGTCTTAGTTTTCTCATCTTGTATCTGAAAAATGATGATCGTTAACTGTGCTTGTGCTGGTCTTGTGGCATTATTATGTGAGCAGCTATATCTTTCCAATTACTTCAGCATTCACAGTTTCTAATTATTTTTCCTTTCGAAACATCCCTCTACTTAAGCATCAGAAGAGCAGGATTATTCACAGGCATTATCTAGAGAGGAGGTGAAAATTACGTGTCTGTAAATCACTTCTGTAGGGACACTGCTTGTAGAATTCTTATTTATTGACCTCTGTTTTTCCCTTTTTGTTTGTTCTGGTTTTGTTGCTATTTTAGGAGTGTCCTTCCCTTGTGGTGATTATCTTGCATACTGTTTTAAATTTATTAGGGTGAATTTTAGCTCTTTAGTTGATATTTCCCTTTGGTAGATTTCTCTCCTGCAAATTGTCTCCTGCAAATTTGGAAGTAATGAATAGAATGTTTGGCAAACAACATTTATACTCGGCAGGCTTTTGGCTGATGGTGGCCTATTCAGCAGCTATTTGGAGGGCCCTACCTTGCAAATGCTAGCTTCAAGTGTCAAAAAAAACAGTGAGAACTAGGAGGGTTCTGCCAATCTTGAGTTGAGACCCAGGAGTAAGAAACTTTGAAGATAATCACATCAGAGAAGCTGCAGTCGGTAAGTAAAGTTCCTGTCAAACTTTGCATGAAGTTCTAGGGAGCTGCATGTTCATTTGCAGATGATCAGACCTTTGAAAAGTGAAATTAGTTGTGAAAGGCTAGACCTAGAAATTACATTTAGAAAGTTCTGTGTAGGAAGGGTTAATATTGATACTACTTAGTGAGCTGTACTGTAAAATAAAGAAATTGCAAGAATTTAAACAAAAAAACTCAAACTCTGGTAGCTTTTAGCTTTAGATTGAAATAAAAGATAGAAATATTCTTCTGTTTTAACTTTCAGAGTTTGTTAAAGGGAAATTATGACTGTTCTTCAAATTCAATATGCCGATTCTAGTAATTAAAGGAAATACTTTTAAAGTAACATTTTTGTACAGTGGTTTTTGGTAGTTTAGAGATCATTCTACAGCTAAAACATAGTGAAGACTTGGTCCAAACCTCAGTTATTAAGATGTTAAATCTCTGAAAACATGTGCAATGTGTTTGTCTACCTGGTATCTGTGTGTGTGTTTGTGTGTGAAGGGAGTCCATTTAATAGCTGCTTACCAATTTCTAAGCTGTCTCTTTTCTGTCAGTTCGAGAGCTGCAACTAGATACATTCAAACCAAGAAAGGGTATAAGTTGGAGAAATTGGGTTATAGTGAATTCTATTATTAGTTTAAGCCTTTAAAAGAAGTTCAGCGATCTTCCTAAAAATGTTTTATCATTTAATGAGGAAAAGACTTCAAGCAGGAATTAATGGGTTAAGTTCTTTGGTTTGTATGGGGTTGCAGATCTGACAAAATTATTTATTCTTCTATAGCGGTTTTATTTTTACTTTTATTTATTTTATTTTCATCTTTTTGTATACTTTTCTTTTCACAGAGGTCTTGCATATTTGTTTTTCCAGACAAATAACCAGTAAACTGGACAAACCCTGTGGGGGGATTGGTGGTTTTTCTTGCATTTTACCAGCATCCAATGCCTGTGGCCATCATAAATAGATTTTTTTTTTTTTAATGGAAAGGCATTTAAAAACAATCAAATTGCTCTCCAAGGAATGAGATAGCTACAGGTTGTACTCAAGTACATATTTTCCAAAACAAGGTGTTCATTAGCACACATTTTCATTTATTAAGTTCAGTGTGTGTCTGAGTCTGTTGGCTGTCTCTAGCCATCTCTTAAGTTCTGCTGTCATCTTAAGTGTTTTTAGTTTGTGTAGGTTTTCAAAAAATACTTACTGGCAGAGTCTTTAGAAACTTGATCTAAAAAGCCATAAAGCCTCACACTTTCAATAAGTTATGGGAATACAGTTCTGCAGTATCATTAATTTGCAGGCATAATCAGATAGAACAAATGACTTTCGACAGGTCAGGTTCCTTAATTTCTTTGATCTGAACAGTAAAATGCATCAGGCATACTATGTGTTTTTGATGGTCTCTGGCTTACCTGTTGCAAATATATCTGATATTGATGAGAAGAATATAAGTAATATTTTTAGTTTCCTTTTGTAACCTGGACTGGACAGTGTTTCTAGAAGTATATTCTTCTGACATAGCCATTTTGATTTTTTTCATGTGATAGTAGTTTATGGAGTATAATGCTTAGACGTTTTTTGCTAGCTAGTTAAATTATAATTCAAATTTACAATACTCTTAAAACTTTATTTCTAAAAGATAGTACAGGTATGGCCATACTTTTGTGGGAGGATGCTGGGGTGAGGGAGCTTAAGGGTAAAAAAAAATTAAAAAAATATATAGGACAAATTTTTGAATTGGAAAGAGTATTTCTTGAACTAGAGAGATTAATTTTCTTCTTCTTAATAGAATTGAATATAAAGGTAAGACAAAAGAAGGCACACTAAGTGCAAAAGATGTATTAGTTGAAACCAAATTAGTTTATCTTTGTGTAAAAACTGTTTTGAACATCTTGCCTAATGCCAGAAAAATCTGTACTTTCATATGCATAATAGTTTCAGTGCATGTTTAAAGTAAAGTACATGTAGCAAAGCCTGTGAGGCTGTAAGGTTCCTTACATGTATTTCTCCTATAACAGGAGAGAGACTTTCAAAGATACGAAGAATAGGTAAGCAAAAGATTGCCATTAGTACTTGTTGGGAATTGGGCCTCTAATATCAGTATGCTCCGTTGGTCTCAAAAAGTAGTCAAATTTTTATTGCTTGCTTCTGTGCTGTAATTTAAAATAAAAGATTTTGTGGGCATCTTAATACATCATAGCTAAACTTGGATGCTGTTGAAGCTAAGTGAAGGTAGCTTAGGCATGCTGGAGTTCTTCATATTTTCTTGCAAGTTGCTTTGGCATTGCTTTGTGTCTGGATTTTCACACCTCACCTTTCTCTTCCTTTCCTTTTAAAATTCCCTGCGTAACACTTAGAGCTTTGATAGCTTTTTGATCTGCTCTTACACACACCTTTCTCAGGTGTCCATGTGGTCTTCGGTATGTGAAAGTAGGACAAAATTTTGCCTGGAGTGTTAGCCTACTGTTTTCATGAAACAGCAAAGGCAATTTAATAACTTGCTGTGGTCAGAAGGGTTGGTCCTATGCTCTTTCTTGTGCTAATGTGCAGAAAGTTGTTATTCTTTTTTGCTTGGGTTAATTATCTACAGGTTTGGTGAGCTGGATTGGCACACTGAAGAGTCACCAGAGCTGACAAATTAGAGGCACAGGAGTATGTAGCTGAGAGAAGGGGAGGGAAAGACTGCCACTTGATTGACATCAGTGTCTGGAATTGTCTGTTTCCTACTTGGAGACCTTAATTCTTTGAGAACTGTCCAGTCCAAATGATACAGACAGCCACTTATTTTTCCCCCCAGTGGTTGCTGAATGTTTCTTCCCCTCTGCCCCACCCCTGAAAAAAAAAAAAAAGACAAAAACCCCAAAACCAAAGAACAAACAAACAAAACCTTTCCTACCCCTTGCTCTCGGTATCACAAAAAACTTGAGGCTTACAAACCAAAAAGTTCTGTTTTCTAGAGGTCGGTGTTTTTGAGTCACATCTGTATTTCAAGAAGTAATGAAAAACTCTTAGTTCTGATTTGAATACATGACTAAGGATGCTTTTTTGAGGACTTATTCAGGATAGTCTCAGTTCTTGTCTTTTGTTATACTGAAGTAGCACAAGAACTACTGTACATTTCGGTGTAGTACTTTTGATCTTAACTGAAATCTGGTCATAGAACACCATGTAAAAGTGAGATGGATTTTGGTATTGAAAGGAGACAATTTCTTTTGTAATTTTTAAATCATTAACTTCCTCCCTTCCCTTCCCTTTGTAATATGCCTACTAGTGGACACAGTTTAACTGGTCTGCAACAGTTTCATTTCTTGTACTGGTGTTTTTAATTCCCTCTGTAGGAAGTCTCCGGTCTTGCAGTTCATCAGACTGCTTTAGTAAAGTGATGCCTCCAAGGAAAAAGAGGAGACCTGCAGCAGGAGATGATTTATCTGCTAAGAAAAGTAGACATGATGGGTATGTCATCTTACCATGAGCTAAGACTGATGGAATATCTAAAGTTGAATAGCTGATATGATCGTGGTTTTAAATACTAATGGCAATGGTATTCAAATTTGCTTGGTTTCTCGGTGTGGAACCATAGCCTATGATTGAACTGTGGGATATTGATAAGCACATCTAGGTTCAGTTTGCATCTCACCTTTTTCTAGTCATACAACAAGCTTGTAGGGAACTTCTCCTTGCTCTAGTTGGCCCTCTGTCAAAATAGACATACTTGTTTGTTCAAAAACAATTTCTAAGAGATACTGTAATATCTTCCTGTATACATGCATAAGATCTGCATTGGGCATTCTCAATCTACAGCCTGTCAGAAAAGGGAATGTAGTTGTAGCCCACTCAGCTCTTGAAGTCCTGCTGGTCTCTCCCTGTCATGTTGTGATTTGATGCTGATGGTGTAAGGGAAAGGTGAAGATTGCCCTGGCAAGGTGATAGTGTTGGAATGGTGATTTGAGGTGGTGCTGGTAAGCTTCCCTCTGGGCAACAGAATCATGGAATGGTTGGGTTGGAAGGGACCTTAAAGATCGAGTTCCAACCCCCCTGCAAGGCAAGGACACCTTCCACTAGACCAGGTTGCTCAAAGCCTCATCCAGCCTGGCCTTGAACACCTCCGGGGATGGGTCATCCACAGCTTCCCTGGGCAACCTGTTCCAGTGTCTTGCCACCCTCACAGTAAATAAAGTAAAAAGTGGGTTAGAACTGTGTGCAGGAGCAGTGTGTTCTTTTGGCATAGGTGTCACGTAGCTGAGGCTTTTGCAAGTGTTGGATTTTCTGTGTATGTTCAGTCAGCCTCAGTCATTCAGAAACCATTGAGTGTGCTCTTTTTGTGCAAAATAGTTGGTACTTATGTGCACTAAATTCAGAACTTCCGGGAGTACAGGACTGTACACTCCTTCATGATAGGCATAGGACTGTCCTGATGTTGAAAAGTGATATATGCAGACAGAAAGTTTGGTTGCCACTGTGTCAGTGAGTAGAATTTGAGCTCTGTTATATTAATGTGTTACTAGTGACTCAGAAAACACATGCTTCCATAACAAGTATCTTCAGGAAGGTAAAAAGATGCATTTCTCTCCTAACTGTCAGCCTGAAATCCGTCTGGGTGCTTTTCTTTTTATTCTCTAGCATGAGTAAGAAAAATGCTGGTAGCCAAATTAAGCCTCTTGGTATGCCTCTGTAACTCCATTGTGTTTAATAGGGTTGCACAACTGTAGCTGCACTGGAATTTATTAAGTGATCTGTTGATGCAGAAGAAAGATTTCAACTCTCCCTTTCATTGCTTTGCATATGTAACACTAGTAAGGAAAAAGAGCAGCACATGTTCTTAATATTTTTTGTTGCTTTTCATAAAGAATAAAATAGAAAAGCTAATAGTTGATAGAGGACATTACAGCTTATTCAAAGATATGCATAAAATATGGTAGCAAAACAAGGACAGAATGTTTCTAGAATCTAAGTAGAAAGGTTCACAAAACTTAACTCTCCCTCCCTTTGCCAAGACACTGATGGTGAAACAAAACAACCCAAAACCCCTAGAAAGTAAGGTTGTCTGTAAGTAAGAGAGCCTGATTTGTGTAATTCAAATAAGATAATGAGAATCTGATTTCTTACTCTATCAGTAGTATATATAATTTTAAAGAGCTTTTTGAAAGCATAATTTGAAGGAGGGGTTTTTTTTTATGTCTTTCAGTTTATAATTAATAGATCTAGTCCTCATTCTGCTGCCGTGTAAGGCTTTATTAAAAGGAAGACCTCAGCCTGCTTTTAGAAGTGGAGGTGTACCCAGATCTGCCCAGTCATGGGCTACAGGGGTATATCCTTCTATGATATGGTTCCAGTTTTTATCTGTCTTGCTTCTTACGTTTCTAAAGCTTTCTCTGCTTCCCAGTGTATAAGTTTCTTTTGTTTTGGTCTTCAAGAAAAGTTTTTATTTCAGCATGGCTGGCAATATGAAATAATTTGCTGAACATTCAGCTAAGTCTTGGAGCTCTGTTTTCTTTCAAGAAAGGATTTTGTCAGATTTGGTGTGTGCCCCTGTAACCTCATGTGAACAAGTTAGGCAAAGAGCAGGCTGTCTCCTGCTTCCATGCTTGCTTGTCAGGCAGAGCTCTTGCCTGTTATGTTTGGTCTTTGGAGGTCAGACATCTCAGTTTGTCAAGCAGAAATCTGAAAATCAGGAACCTCTACAGCAGTGTACTGTAGCAGACCTAGTCCTTTGCAAAGCCATTTCCTCTTACATTCTATATGTAGAGTGCTGTATACAGTAAGAACAGTATCGATAGTGCAATGCTAGTTTATGGAATAAGGGGCTTCTAGGCCCAGTTTGTTAACCATTGTTTCCATTTCAGAGGCAGACTTCCTAGAAGTTGCGTACTGGTAACTCAGGATAAACCCTCAAGGGACATTAGCTTGTCTGGATTCTATATTAAGCAAAAAAGGTAGCTGGTGTCTGTTCTTGAATGTCTGCTTTCAATGAGAAACATGATGTGTGCTCTCCAGAGGAGACTTGGTATTTCCTAACAGAGATGATTTGTCACTTCAAATGGTATGGAATGATGTAAGTTTTGTATGTTTCTCAGTTATAGGGGCAACATTAACAAATAAATTCAGTAATTTTAGACTCCTGTTTGCTTTCAGTGTGTAAATGTTAGGTAGTATTCCAAAGATTATCAAAGAAGTGTGATTATTACTGGTGTTATCACAACTGAGACCAAATATTGATGATTCCTCCTGGTTTGTCCTTAAAAAGGAAATTTATTTTTTTAAACTATCCCAGTTTTGTTGGGTAATATTTTTAGTCTTCACTGTCTGTGGTGTGTTCCTATAATCTTTTCAACTATGATAGTAATATTTTTGAGATATGTTTTCTTTCCAGAAAGCTTATTTCACCAAGGCTCTGTGCTGAAAGAATATGATTTGTAAAGGCTCTGAAACTCATAAACACATCTAATACCAGGGAGCTTGTAATAGCCTTCACCCTCAGTTCCAGGCTGTTAGAGTTACAGCCTCATTTTTTAAGTGTTAGTGGCATAATGACAATGGCTATTAAGGAAAAACATTTGTAGGAACAAACCTAGTTGTTATTGAAGTTGTTTGGAAATGCTGATCTCATGCATAGACTGATCATGGAAAACAAAGATTCTAAACATGTTCTTTAGCATCCCACCCCTATATAATAAGAAGTTGAATTCTGGTAATTAATGTTCATAATGTCACCTTGAACCACGAATGCAGTGTTTCAGTGGGAGGGATTTTTTTATGCCAGATGATCTATAATGAAAAGGACTTGGTGTATTCATTTCTGGATCACAGTAAGATTTGTCCTGTACTAAAGAATAGCTATTGGAAGTAAACAGGTAACACACACTCACCAGAACATAAATGATTTGAAGACTTAGTTTGTATTTTCCTCTCACTATCACACAATCTTGACTTCATTTTACTTACAACTCTTACAGTACAGGGTACTCTCAGGTTGGAGTTAAAAATAGAATTTTTGTACATTGCCCTCCCATCACTATGTTAAGGACCTTAGGACAGGTAAAGCAAGTTCCATGTGAAGATTCTTGCTAGGTGGGAATATAGTCCTCACTGTAATTATGTAATGCTGAGTATTTGTTATACAATCTCTAGCCAAGTATTGGCTTTTTCCTTAGGGGAGAAATGAGCTTCTCTTCTTTCTGATAGTCTCACTTGAGAAAGAATTCTCTTATTCTAGATTCATGCTGATGGCAAAAATCTTACAGTAAAGGATTATTTGGACCTTAGAAGGATGAAAACTAGGAATATTTATCTGCTTCCCTGAAAGTTTCCTCAAGCAGTTTATGTAAGAGTCCAGTTTATCCTGAATGTGTGTATGGACCACATAAAGGCCTATTAACATGAAAAATAGATTTTCTTTATTGAGTAATAGGCTTCATACTCTATAGTGGAAAAACACAAGCTTTGAAAACACAGTCAACATATCTTTATTAACATGGGAAAGTAAAAAGAGAGTGTGCTAAACTTGGAAGTTTTCAAAACCTTTAGTGTTGAGAGCTTCTTTGTTCTGTTATTTATTAACTGGTTTGGTCCTGACCCATGCAGACAGCCTGTGTTACCAACTGTCACAGATGTCTAGACCTTATTCCTTGAAGCAGAGATTTTTCAAGTACACAGAGGTATAATTTTCCTTGTTTCTACACCTTTTCAGTGAACTTCACTTAATAGCTCTGAAGAAATTTAAACTGGACATGTGACTATTGGCATGTATGCTGTTACACATAGTGCTCCTTAGATAAGCCTGATGAAGTTCAAAACATTAATTTAAAAGTTTAGAGATGATTCAAAGTCTTTAAATAGGGAGAGATAAGACATATTCATTCATAAAACTTAACAGTCAAGTGAATTTGTCCTGAGGGTTGCTTTAGACGGTCCTGGTCATGCCTTGCAAATTGTAAACCATCTCTCTTCCCCATCTCCCCCTACTTGTTTCTACTACGGTATTTAAGAAACTGTTGCTAAAAACGTAATTGTGAATAAGTCTTTGTAAAAAAAACTTTCATTGTGCTGCACTGAAGATTCTCAGCCAAAATTTTGAATTAATTCATTAGAATTAATGGAAGTAGTAGGAGGCATATTCTTCAGTCCAAAGTTTGTATCTTTCAAAATATAAATAATGTGAAAGCAATTAGTTATTAGGTTCAAAACTCAAACAAAATAGGGTCAAGGTTTTGAATAATTTCTAGTTGCATAGAAACAGGGCTACTGTTGGTAAATTTCTTAATGTTTTCATTCAGCAAACACCATCTGAAATGAGCAGACTGTAAATCTTCATGAGAGGTTAACTTTTGACTTACCATAATCAACTGTACCTTTTTTCTTTTTTTAATTTTTTTTTTCCTTTAAATGAGCTATTACCAGCTTCCATAATCAAGAGAATGTTTTGTGTGACCTAAATTCCATGCTTTCACTGATCT